CAAAGATGATGGAGAGGGTGGAGGTTTTGGACTTATAGGAAGTCCTGAGGGAGTAGTCCCCTACCCGGTAAGCCAGCAAGGGCCCCAGGATGGAGACAAGCTCCCTCGGTAGTGACCGGGAGATACAGATCTCTCATAGTCAGTGGTAGTGTTGAGAGCTTGGATGGACGTGTTCGCAGGGCGAGTGTCCAAGCCGAGATGGCCACTGATGTTGGTCAGCTGTGCTTTTATACACTCAAGACACTGGTTATTACTGTTTTACAAACTGTCAAAAAAGACGGCATTGTTAACCCCCTGGATGCCAGAGGGACATATATGTCCTTCCTCTACACCCCTCACTTTGAAGTCGAATAAAATTCAAAATACATCACCCACACAAATACACTTGACAGTTTTGAATAAGGTGGGAAATTCCCAGTTCTGTGATATCATCCACTGGCATTTTAGGCCAAGCAAAAGTACTGAACATGACCTCTGACATTATTTTTTCAATATTGGATCACAGGATAGTAAACAGTTTACTTTATTTCTCCAGGAATTGTAAAATGTATAAAAATAAAACCCATGCCAGGTACCCCGTTGGTTCAAACGTATACGATTATCCTGATAATTCTATACCAATAGAGCTTTCTTTGCATCTTTTATTGTGTAAGAAAATATAACATAATCATGAACAAATATATGTCCAATATTGAATATAATTTTGTTTGTTTTGAAATATTCTTTTGGGAATTTCATTACGTAAATTGATGCCAAACAGGTGCGTGTCTTGTCCAATTAAGATACACAATAAACTATCTAATTGTTTACATATTCAAGACATTATTTACTTGGTGAGAGCAGTCATTTTATGTTGTGTCGAAAAAGCGTCAAAATCCGTTCCACACATCGAGATTTTCCAAACCATGAACGAAACTTAGGGGAGATATATATCAATCAAAATACAAGTGTCGTCTTTCTCCGACGTTATCAAAGACATGAAACCAGCCATGACGTCAAAAGAAATCGTGTTATTTTTCGGGTATTTCATTACATTTGATGATAAGGCTTGTGCTCCATTAATAATGATGCAATATTAGTAAAATCACACTTACACAATCAGGAGAATGTTGGAATCTAAGGACTAAGTTATAGGTTAGATAAGGCCATCCATTTCTCTATTACCTCCTTTTTATGAAGTACGATTTCATCATTTCTTATGGGTATATTTTATAACTAAACGTGTACAGTTTCAATATCGATATTTGTGTTGGAATAGTTTGGTTCCTCCTGAACAAAACACCACGACAATATATTGTCCTTACCCACAGCTAATTCTCACCAAGTGACCTGAGTTACAACAAACTAGAGCTAAGCATAGCGGAGTTATGCCCCCTTTTCTTTGTACGTGTGTAACCTCTCTGTCACCTTTTGACGTCATAGAGAAAAATCATTTTTCGTCATTTACGGCATGCTATTTTTGGAATTAAATGTATGTCGTTATACATACACATATAACCCCATTTGATATGTAGTTATGTAGTTCAGATATTAGGCACTATTTTGTTCGCTCACAGTTTCCGTAAAGCTTCTTAATAAAAAAAATTGTCGCACAGTACTTTTATCGGTGTACGATAAAAAGCGGAGAAATGTACTGTTTTTCAACGGAGAATAAATTCTCGGACAACACTTAGGAGTGTCTTTTTTTAAAAACCGGTTTGATATTTACAGTTAAATTTACACTATCAAATAAAAAATTTAATATTCTCCACCTCTGCGTAATTTTATAGCCAGAGGTAGATCCAGTGCCGCGTGAGCGCAATTCTCGCACAACCTTCACTTTTCCGATCTAAGGAAAATGTGCGTCAGAAAAAAAACTCGGCATCCAGAGGGTTAACGTCATTGGAATCCTTTTTGTGACGTAAGGTAGGAACGACGTCAAACTAGAAAATACGTCATAGCTGAAGATTGTTGACGTCATTCGACAATGGCGGTTGTCCAAGACGACGGTCGTGATCGGTGAATTATTGTAAAGGGGAGCTAAAAAAGTTACAGAAATAATGGGTATTAAAGACATTATTACACACGCACATGTGTCATGTCAATCTGATTTTACGAAACTCGTGTTAAAAGCCATGTAATAGATCTATCCTCCCTGTCGCTCGGGAAATACAGAATTCTGACACTTGTTTCGTAAAATCAGTATGACACTCATGCTTGTATAATAATATACAAATACTTACTTTTGACGAGGCCAATATGCGAACACACGGACCCGAGGACCGGAGGACCCGAACCCTGAGGTGGTCCGATCAAGACCGCCGAAGGGGTCGTGTCCGAGAGTCCTTGTTTTCGCATACTGACCTCGTCAAAAGTTGTCATTCGTTTTGTTTTACCGAAATTCACTTTAAAGTTTATGAAGCCTTTAAACCGTCTTTTGTTTCATAACATTTTCTTATATTAGCTTCGAACTGTAAAATGTTAGTATAGCAGACGACATCTTGTTTTCTAGCAGACGAGTCAATAAACAAAGCGGTAGCGAGAACTAAGGTCTAATTTTAATGAGATTGATATTTATCACGTGACAGATCAATACTGATCATGTGACGAGTCAATATTCGCGGTCAATGTCAGTCACATGATTTGGATATCTATATTGAAATATATTGTTTCGTCAGGTACGTGGTACGGATTAACAAATATAATTGCAAGATTCTTAATAGTGCCGAAAACTGGATAGTTTACACTGATTGTTCAACTGTTCTCTTTGTTTGCGAAGCGCCCCTTTAACAAAGTGACGTCATATTAACGCACTGTTGCACATTGCACGTTTTGTGTGACGTCATTCTAACAATCGATTGACTTAGGCGATGTCTTCATTTGAAACCGGGAAACAACTTGTCCACATTGTTTTTCAGCGAAAACGCATGAGTCATAAATAAAGGATTCATTACGATTTATTTTTGTTTGTTTGTTGTTTAACGCCGCACTTACCAATATTACAGCTATTGACGGCGGTCTGTAAGTAATCGTGTGGACCAGACAATCCAGTGATTGACATCATGAGTATCGATCCACGCAATTCGGATCGATGACATGCATCAACCAAGTCAGCGAGCCTGACCACCCGATCCCGTTAGTCGCCTCTTACGACAAGCATGAGTTACTGAAGATCTATTCTATCCCGAATTTTCACGGGTCGATATTTTTTGTAATATAAGACATATCAACCGAGTCTTACAGTTATTAACAATCGCTATTCGCAACTCGGGATTATGGACTATCGCGTGAAATAATGGCAATACACCCAGGATAGACAACCTGTAATCACTCGTAGGTTATTAAAAGTTATTAGTCATGAGAGATTATAAGCCTAGTGTATTTTCAAATCGTAAAGATCATATATCAAGAATAAAGAATATTTTTCGAACATTTAGCGAATCAAGTTTTTTTTGTTTCCAGCATTCTTTGTTTGTTTGTTTAACGCCGCATTCGGCAATATTCCAGCTATATGACGGCGGTCTGTAACTTATCGAGTCTTAGGCGTTAGTCGCCTCTAACAACAAGCACAGTCGCCTTTTACGTATGCAACATTGAACTCACCAGTTCTGACAGTCGACATTGTAAGTTAGAAGGCAGATGATTTGGCATTGAGTGTCGCGAGTAGTTGTTAAAGAAATCGAAATATGTCGACAAACCTACCTCACAGTGAACTGGAACACCTTTATGTTGATGTGCAATATCAGAACAACGTTGAATTATATATAAATGAAGTCATTAAAACATGACGACTGACAACGTATTTCGCGGACTATATATTTTGCTTGATGGTGTATTGCCCTCGAAACATCTGTAACCCGACCCGTCAAATAAGGACACACTCATCTACAATCTATTGTGTGAAGATGCGTCGTTTCAACTAATAATAGAAACACATCATTCAATATGCCAGCGTGTGTATGACGTGACAGACAGATGTAAATCAAATGTCGTCAAACTTGAACTGTGAATGTGTCCTTTGTAAGAGATATGGACTTGTTATTGTCAGGTTGGTATAAAAAATAACATCTCTGGTGAGGTGAGGTGAAATGGAGTTTAACGTCGCGTTCAAGATGATTGCACTTATATAGCGACGTGCATGCACGTGTGTGGCTGCTTGTACTAGTCTGGTTGGTTGGTTGTTTTACGCCGCACTTAGCAATATTACAGCTATATGACGACGGTCTGTAAATAATCGAGTCGGGACCAGACAATCCAGTGATTAATATCATGAGCATCGATCCAGGCAATTGGGATCGATGACATGCATCAACCAAGTCAGCGAGTCTGACCACCCGATCCCGTTAGTCGCCTTTTACGACAAGCATAGTCGCCTTTTACGGCAAGCATGGGTTGCTGAAGACCTATTCTACCCCGGATCTTCACGGGTCTTATAAATATTAAACAGGGTGCCGTTCTACAAGGCGGTCTCAGCGCTAAATTCCCATACCTTTAATAACATGGACTTACGACAGTCGTATCGTCGCTATATGCATGGCTGAAATAATGTCGATGCGTCGATAAATTTTAACTCACTCACGACAGTCGTGAGGACCCAACTGGATCGATAGTCGATCACTTGACCAGCGAGACCTACATAAACCACCATGCATGTATCGAATTGGTAGGTAAATGCAGATCTGTGCATGCAGGCAGCGTGCACAATGTGCATAGCTTGTCTAAACAAACACACAGAACAGTCATTTTACCATATCTGTACCTCGGTCAACAAAATATATATGAATAACTTCCGCATTTATACGTGTATCAAGATTGACCAAGTCTGTCATTTATTTATTTTATCAGTAGTTTAACTCTTTCCTCGAGTTCCTCATGCGTGACGTCACAACATATACTGTTCAGAGGGGTTAGTGTGTTAAAGCGTTTCATCACACTAATCATCTGGTTAAAACCTGCATATATCCGAATAAAGTCACCACCAGGTGATGATTAGTTATGAATTATTATTATTATAAACATACGTGTGGTGATTCTACTCACGGTTTGTGGAGACGCAATATGTTTTCGCAGGTATCTGAGGTCAGCGTGACATATATGTACTTCACACACAAGTGTGACAAAAACCCACAGTGATGCGCTACAGGGTGTAGATAGGTGCACTCGACATACGCTAATATCCTGTTACGCTTACAGGGCCCAAACACCAAGACAATTTACACATAAAACAGGAAGACCTCAACAGGAAGACCTCAACAGGAAGACCTCAACAGGAAGGTTTTCAGCTGCGGTCGCCGTATCTTTGTACTGCTTCCTTCAAACGATTTTCATATTAAGGTGTAGCGGTGTCAAGTCAAAATGAGATCGTTTATAGGGAGCAGTATAAAGTTACAGTTACGGCGGCTAGAGGTTACATGACAGGGACTTACTGAGGGAATTCGAAGGTGGTAAACAAGACTCATTCTAAATGCGAGCTACTGATGATTTTATTTTTACATACAACCACGTAAGTTGTAGAGAGCGGTAATACCATTGGAGGAAGGTGGGGGAGAAATCATGAGAATCTGCGGATTCCGGAAGGAGAATCAACGAGCCCGAAAGGCCGGATCGATTTTTATTTTTTTAAAATTTTTTGGGTGAGGTGAGATGAAATGGGGTCCAAGATTATTGCACTTACATAGCGACGTGCATGCACGTGTATGTGTGGTTGCTTGTACTAGTCCGGACTGATGCCGATTTATAGTGCTAGCACACTGAGATACCATGCCGCAGTTTAAAATGACTACCCCCACTCAGACACAGTATACTGACTCCGAGCCGACCAGCCCCTTAATGTCGAGCGCCAGACAGGGTAAAAAACAAGTACCAACTTTTAACGTCCTTTGGTATGACGCGGCCGGGGATCGAACCCCGGACCTTCCGCTCTCCGGGCGGACGCTCTACAACTAGACCACGAAGGCGGTCCCTCTACTTTTCTTTTTTCTTTCTTTCTTGGAATCGACAGATTGGGGTGATTCCTCCGACTTAAACAATGTCATAGTTGATGAAAAATGTCTCAATTATATTTTTTCATAATGACCTATACCTTCGTCAGTGGTCCTTGTTTAGAATCCGCGGTCAGAATGGCCAATGAATTCCCGGCTCAGAATCATCTGCATGAGTGAGTGAGTGAGTGAGTATGTTTTTACGCCGCTTTTAGCAATGTTCCAGCAATATCACGGCGAGGTACCCCAGAAATGGCTTCACGCATTGTACCCATGTCGGGAATCGAACCCGGATCTTCGGCGTGACGAGCAAACGCTTTAACCACTAGGCTACCCGACCGCCCTCATCTACATGAAGAATAGTGTGATCATCATGATGCTTCAAACATGCGAAAGTATTAATATATGTCGTTTGTTTGTTGTTGTTAAACGCTGTACTCAGCAATACCAAATGACATCGGCCTGTAAATGATCGAATCGGGACCAGACAAACCAGTGACTGATATAGTGAACAACGTTCCATGCCGTCGGGGTACTGTGACGCCGGGCCCATTCAGTCTCTTCGTACAACAATCATAGGTTGTTGGGGACGCTCCCACTCCCACGGTAGGATATATGTAAAGAAATTCAGCCATTACATATTTACAAATTATAGACTTAACGTGTCGAGATATGGATATCTAATTGGAGAGAGCGGAGAATGTCAGAACCAGGTTGTCGTCTATGGTGGCAATTTTATACGGGTTGTGAAAGGTGTCTGGTGACGTTACAAGGCCCTTCACTGATAACAGACCCGTGAAGTACCGGGTTAGAAGAGGTCTTCAGCAACCCATGCTTGTCGTAAGAGCCGACTAACGGGATCGGCTCGCTGACTTGGTTGATATGTGTCATCGTATCCCAAATGCGTATAGTCGCTATATGGCTGAAAAAATGCCGATGCGACGTTAATTTTAACTAACTCACTAACTCACCCAATCGCATAGATCGATGCTCATGATGTCAATCGCTTGACCTGACAATTTACACACGGTCGCCATATACAGCTAGAATATTATTGTGTGCGGCGTTAAACAAGAAAATACACAAAACATTGATAACAGGCTTTCACACACCACCCATGCCCACAGTATACAGTCAAGTCCCGTTAATCCGACATGGTAGGTTGCATATGCGTGTGCCGGATTAACGAGTAAGTCGGATAAACGAAATTGTATGTAGCATTGGGCACTGGTGGGGTGAGTGGGTATGGTTTTACGCCGCTTTTAGCAAGATTCATGCAATATCACAACAAGGGTACATAAGAAATGAGTTACACGCATTGTCCCCATGTAGGGAATCGAACCCGGGTCTTCGGCGTGACGAGCGAACGCTTCAACCACTAGGCTTCCCCATCGCTCCTGTGACGTTACTGCGATGGCATGCATTAATGTTGATGAGTTCCGAGTCGTCTCATGACGGACACAGCAAGTTTAGTTTTGTGTGCTCATTCGATATTCATATTTGAGCTATTTGGTCTTTTGGTGTGCGAATTCGAGAAAAATGACAACATTGTTTCCATCCATCTTTATTTGTTTTTCACTCGAGTGAGTAATTTGGGTTTAACGCAGTTTTGAACAGTATTTCAGTTATATAACGTGCCAGGTTAATGTGGGGGGAAAGCCCGAAGAGATGCAGGTGTGGTGCTTACAAACCTAGAAACGTAATCGGGGCGAACTGGGATTCGAACACACATTTATCAGTGTCTGGTATGCCCAAGGGACGCAACTCTGCACAGCGAATTCTGGCAACTTAGACGAATTGACCTTTTATTTGGAAGGCCGGAAAAAACATCACAGAATAATTTCCAGTGAATAGTTTGTGCGATTATTTCAATATATTACAGAGAAGCGTTCATATTCAGACATATGTTACCAAAGCAACGCGTCGAGATGGACGAAACGGGTGTTTGTGCGCCATCAATCTACAGGGGGATCTTGCACGTCACACGTTTTTCAAATGTACCTGAACGGGAGATTGTTGTGCCATATGCTACTGGTACCAACGGCTTGATGGTGAGGCTTGGGAAGGGTGCGCGTAACATACAGTATATTAACATTTTCACATTTCGGAAGAGTGAGAGAGTGAGTGATTATGGTCTATCGCCGCTTTTAGCAATTTTCGAGCAATATCACGGCGGGGGATACCAGAAATGGGCTTCACACATTGTACCCATGTGGGGAATCGAAACCGGGTCTTTGGCGTGACGAGAGAACGCTTTAACCACTAGGCGTCCCCACCGCCCCCATTTCGGAAGAGTGAATTTGGTTGAACACAGATTTGAACCGTATTTCAGTTACGTCACGGCGTGTCAGCTTAATGTGGGAGGAAAGCCAGAAGTGACGCAGGTCTCAGACGTTTACTTTTTCGATGAAACCACGAGCACGGGTATGGTGCTGACAAGCCTAGAAACATAATCGGAGCGAATCTGGGATATGAACCCACGATCATAGGTGCCAGGCACTCCCAAGGGAGGCAACTCTCCACGGTGAACTGGTTACATGATAAAATATGTGCATGGGGCATATTATGAGTGAGTGATAATTTCAGCATTATCCAAGCTACGTCAACAATAATCAGCTTCACTCATTGTAAACATGTGGGAATCGAACCCGGGTCTTCGGTGTGACGACCCAAAACTAACGATACTATAACTAGATACTTAACGCCCCGTGGCAATGCGAAGAGCACGCAGATGACTTCATTCAATACAGTACGTCGCACTATATAACGTAGATATATGAAGTACACCGCGATGGGAAGGTTGTACACGCGTGCTTCAGCATAAGCTATATAGACCAGGCAGTTCGTGTATTTTGAAGACATGCGTGCCGACTCTACCTTATCAAACTGTTCGTGAATATATATTCGGTCTTAAAATATACCGCAAAATGCGTCTGAGCTATTCGTCCTGATTTGAAAGGTATATACAAGACGCTTATTTTAACTCATATATACCTCCTATATTGGAGCTATCACATGTTGTATTAGACTAACGTTTAGTCCCAGAAATGTAATTTTCTCATTAAAATTTAAATCCACAAATAAAAAGTATTTTCAAATGCAGCAGTTAGACTTGCCAATGTATTCTACACTTGAGTTAGTATATTCTCTTGGGTCTCGGAGACTAGTGAGTGAGTATGGTTTTACGCCGCTTTTAGCAATATTACAGCAATATCACGGCGGGGGACACCAGAAATGGGCTTCACACATTGTACCCATGTCGGGAATCGAACCCGGGTCTTCGGCGTGACGAGCGAACGCTTAACCACTAGGCTAACCCACCGCCCCTCTCGGAAACAAAAATGCAGCAATACTTTTTTGTGTTAATGTTAGGGTTGGTATTAGTAAAGCTGAATCTGTAAGCGACCCCATTCGTCACTTGATGCCACATCTGAGACCTGTCCCCCACGTCGTGACTTACATCGTTTTGGCACCAATGTTGTCTCCACTCGTGAAGATCCGGGACGGAAGGGATCACACAACAATGCTGGTCGTATGAGGCGACCAACGGATCGGGTGGTCAGGCTCGCTGACTTGGTTGATGCACCCATCAACCACGAACTCACAAATAACAGCTATAAAAAAAACTAACTGCAAATTCGGTTAAGTAATACACCGGTTATGTGACAAAGTATCCAAATATGTAAGAAAAAGTTAACCTCACCTCAACACAACTTCGGAAAAGAAGAATACGAACAAGCAATGTTTAACTCATACAGTCTCATACAATAAATCATTGAACTCATCTATTCGCCTGGACTCCTTCATACATTTTTCTGTTAGTATGCTGGCATATGTCACAAACAATAACGCGTGGGCTATAACACGATAACTGTTCAAGGCACATGTTTCCATAGTCACTTTAGTGGTATTACACAAACCTAGAAGAGAAAGGTGCAAAACATTCACTGACCGAAACGTCAAGTTTCGTTCTGTACATGCAGTCTATTGCTTCTACAAGGAAATGGTTCCAAACGGCAATAGATCACATGTTGATGCAAGGGCGGATCCAGCATTATTAAAAGGGAGGGGTCGAATAACAAATCCTGTCTCAGTGGGGTGCGGTTTTTTCTACAACATACTCATTTGGTTTTCAAAAGGTGGCGGGGGTCCGGCACCCCCTGGGCACCCCCTCTGGATCAGCCTATGTATGTTGAACGCAAGATTCACATGCATCATAAGGTGGACGACCAAGCTGTCACCTTTTCCATTACATTTCTTTATATTAAAATGGCACGCATCATTCGAGCCAGGCATTCCGATAACTAAATCCGTCTGTGCTGGACACGATAAATTCGTGCGAAATCGTGTGGACGAAGGACCATCAACTGTGGTTTCACATATTCCCCAAATTAGTTCACTATGATCTGGATCATACTTGTGAATATTCAATCTCATTAAAATCAGACCTTAGTTCTCGCTACCGCTAAACAAATATCTGAAGACATCCCATTAGAGGTCATGTCAGAACGACCTTTCATCCCACCAATCAGAGCGTCGCTTACCAGATCATGAAAGTAACAGTCGGAATGTGATTTCTGATCATACAACCTCGAAAACTTTACACGGGGTATTCCGAACGATGGTTACGGGTTTAACGACTGAATAAATACAATCAAGACCATCAATTAGCCATTGCAGAATTTTCTTTTGTTCAGGTTTCAAATTTGTAATCGAGAATTTGTCAAAATATGTTGCGTAGCGTAGTCGCCAATTTGAAATTAGTGCCGTAAAGCACGAGAAAGCTGCCTTCTGATTGGTCATTCCATTGGTCGGTCAAAGTTCGCGCAAGCTCGGTCTGACGTGACCCGTAATGGGATGTCCTCAGATCTTTGTTTAGTGGTAGCGAGAACTAAGATCTGATTTTAATGAGATTGGTGAATATTGCAATTCGTTTTCTTCAAGACGATCATGGTTATTAAGCAGCCGAAACTTACTCTTAGGAGCCTGAATTTCGACCTCAAGATTACCTCTCCTGAATGTCAAAAGGGACAACTGGATATATGGAAGTTCAACTGCGTTTGTATAATACCGAATTACAATCCTGTGGAATCCTAAAGAGTGTGTGATTTAACGTTGAAACAATGTCGCGACAATATTAGGGGAACCTATAAATATTTTATTTTCTATTTTAAAAAATCCACTTATCGAAATCGAACTTTGGACTGTACCTCTCCTATTGATATAGAAACTGTATCCCCAATTTGAAAAGATTCTATAAATTAGTTTTCAAGTTACAGGTCGTACAAATGTTGAAGAAATAAAAAGTTCTAAGTTCAGAACATGAAAGAAAATCTAAATATTGAAATCAAACTTTTCACTACACCTCTCCTATTGGTACAGAATGTGTTCGCCAAGTTTGAAAGGAATCTATGCAGTAGCTGCTTTTAAGTTTAACATAATGTCTTCGGAAGGAGGGACGGAATTCCTTGGTGTAACTATATACCGGACAGAAGAAAGTGGGGGTATAATAATGTCACTTGTAGCGCGCAATTGTCCATAACACTGATGCATGCCCTATGGGCAATGCAAGAAGAGAGAAATGATAGGTATTTAGTTGTCACTTAAAGGTTGTCGCTATCAACCAAGTCTCTGAGCTGGACCACACGATCCACTTGGTCAGAGACCAGCAACCCCAAACATGAAACAATACAAAACAACAAACACCATATCATCTGCACAGCTGTTTATGATGTGTAGCATAGAACACGGGTCTGTGATAGGGCTGGATGACAGTGAGTGATGTTTTCAATGAGGTGGACACGTAAAAGTAGCTTCCAATTGACATCGTTTTCCCTTGACTGCAAACCATTTGCCATATGTGAATAACCGAACATTATGGAGTTGACGAACTATTTACAATGAGGACAATTCTAAAAGTATTCAAGATCAAAGATAGTGAAAACTTGATTAATGTCTGACAATTGTGAAAAAAAGGAAATTGAAAATATGTCTTCGTTTGAAATCACAATATGCAGCCTTTATAGTTCAAGCTAAATTAAGAAACGTATTTGCTGATAATTGTTACATAGATATCTTTCACTAATCAATAGCATGTAGCTCTGCATATATATTCAACTTTTGTCTATACTTTACTATAGAAATACTTTCAAACAGCTTCAATTCAACTCTTATGTATCCTCTTAAAAGCAGGCAAGAAACTCATTCTTGTCATAGGCTAAAAGAAATTGCCTTACTAGGACTCGGGTTGGACACATCCAGGCCCATTCTTAAGAAAACTGCATTCATAGTGTTTGTAGGATAATTTAAACCGCACACATAACAGAATATAATGCTTGCAGGTCAATGTTTTGTTAAACCCATCTGCATTTTAAGGTGCCTGATCCATGTTATTTATCAGGACGAATATAGTTTTGAATCAACTCCAGTCAATGGCAACCAGGTCTGACCTCCCAGGCTTCACAATAGTCTCACAATAGTCAGCACAAAGATGTATTGGGGAACAGGCACCAGATGTGCAAGTGCAGCACAGTTCCACAAATCAATCTATGTGCTTTAGGGCCAACCAATTGATATTCTTGGGGAGTGCCTGGGATTTTATTGAAAAAATAAAATTGTCCCTAAACATTCGTGAAAAGAATTATTATACTTCAGAACTTTGAAAAACAGAAAATATTGCTTGCAATTTTTTTACATTGTTGCAAGGCGTTTTTCTTTTCAAAAATAATTCAGGCTCGTAGTTTAAAAAAAATATATCTGGTTTTGCAGCTCAAATTAAAAAAATGATAATCTTGATACAAAATCCCAGACTCCTGAAAGAATATGAAATGGTCAGTCCCTTAGATGATGTCAATGACCATACATTGATCACAGTTGATCGCAAAAATCTCTTTAGGGAACTGGGCGCTGGAGAGCAACATGCAAAACCTTTCAGCCTTGACATACAATGTTTTTGTGAATCAAATCATTACACTGTTAATCATTGCTAGCTAGTTCCAATACAGCTACTGATCTGTTAATTATATGGAGTTATTCCAAACTGTGGACAAGCTTGTATACCTTAGTGGGTTGACAGCATGAGATAGATCCATATTGTCCGCTGTGAATATCAGACAAGTATAACGTAACTAGCTTAACTAGTATTTCCACTTCGTCACTAGGCTTGAACTGGAAGCCATGACTACTTCTGCAGACACACGGTGACTAATGGCTTTTATCAATGTGCCAACCTGGAGAACCAAACCTAGAGACAAACCAGTACCAAGTACTGGTACACCTCTGCCCTTCTGTCCAGCATTAATATACTCCACCTGTAGTTAACTGGATGATAAAAAAAAATCTTCATTGGCAATTGCAAAACAATTTAATATCAAGTATTCACAACTTTAGAGTAGGAATGGCAATGGTTGCAGTTCACCTCTCTATCACACAAGTTGTATAGTTGAAATAGTGAAAAATAGTCATTAAATATACTATACATCAAATTTGCTTAGGGGCTAAGGACAATGATGGTAAATGGTGGTCGTTATGCCTTGTGATGAATGTTTATGTACAAAATGATTGATTCATGGTAATTATGACAACTTGCTATAGTTACCAACGCCGGATATATATATATATTTATATATATATATTATCAAGGCACCATTTCTTAGAGCTAGTTCATTAACATACTCCCCATTAAACCACCCTTCCTAACGGGCTGAAAGAACACTTCACCTTATAAACATGAATCTCAAAGGTTGATTGTAAGAAAATTAAACTATTAACCAATACACTTGGTTACAGCAAAATATTTGATGTCGTCCTTCTATTTTCCATTAAAAAACAGTTACATGTTATCTCTATCACATCAATTTCGACTAAACCAAATAAACCTTTATTTATCAAATTTAAACCAGGATGTTCTAAAAGGTGATGTCGTGTTTCAGTCCATTATCAACACAACACTAAATGTGGACCAATTGCATATTTAACAACTAATGTTAAAACCCAAGGAATAATAATTACTCAAGTTAATGGTGGTTTGGTCATTAAAACTTTTGATTTTTCTTTCATTTTTTTGATAACTGAATCACAAAACGCCTGACTAAAGAATTATATGAAGCATTATGAATATAGAAATTGTCAGCATTCAGAGAATTGTAAAATAGATCAAATTTAATGTATCATGATGCAAGAATGATTCAATCAGTTGAAAGGAAGAAGGTACTCTATATCTCTGAACACATTCAGGCCTTCCCATGGCAGTATCCCCTGTTGAGCTGGATATGAAACTGAGTCAGTGATTTAAGTAGAAATATGAACATAACTGAATTAAAATATTCTCCTAATTTAGCCTTGATTCCTGCAAGACAGTAACATATATTCACTGTTAAATATATTCAACATCAAGAAATTTAACGGAGGATTTACATATCAACCTCTTAAAACATGATTAAATTTCGCATTGATAAATGTTAATTTCTTTTCAGCTTGGCTCAGCATGATGTTGAAATGAAAAGGGAAAAATATTCTTTTGTACAAAAAACACAAATGTTGCAGGCTAAAGAAGGGAGTCCAAATATAATCATTTTGGTTGAAATATTTCTTCTGAAATAAACAGCTAATACAATTATTAATAGTAATGTGTCCTTGTACTCCTTATAAATGCTGTAAGAAGTCCTCAATGTGAGCTTACCCCTTTTGAGCTGAAGGAAAACTGTACAAGTCATAAATGCTTTCCAAATTGCATCTTTTGTCTTTGATTTAGTGACCAGTTTAAACAAACATGTTGCCCCAGTACAAAGTTTTTTCCAAGTTTGGGGGGGCAGCTTAATGATAAAGCCCATTCACTTCACATGTTGAGTAAAATACACATAATCATCATTATCATATGATGAAACATCATAACAATCAAAACTGCATAACTAATTAGTGAGAAACATGTGTCATTCATTTGAGATGCAAAAAAACATTTGTTTGAAATTTCACATAATTCATTGAAGCTGAGTGGATTTCAGCAGTTGGTCTGCATGACTCGGGGGTCTGGCTACAGTTCTGGATTTAGCCAAGACCTGCCTGATAGCCAGACTAATCAAATATTCCAAGTGTGAGGGCTTCTGCCACTTTCACATCCTGGGCCACACTGAAACATTTAAAACTTGGAAAATATAATAATGTTGCCTTAAAACAGTGTCTGCAATATTTGTTGAGTCTGGGACAGGCATGATTAGATTGCATGGAACCATGTCCGAAATGGAATCATGTCGTGGCTGTTAACTTTTCTGTCGGGCTTCATGAAATTTTCCTCGACCTGCCCGAATGTCTGGCAGATAAATTTAAACCTACTTACATCTTCAGTTTTATATAACTCCTCGTAGATTCTCAAGTAATTGTTAGCATTATCTCACCTGAATCAAGACGCGATCTGTCTCTTTATTTTTCGCAATGTTTTACCTGAATGCGGGCAGGTAACTTTGAGTGAGCAAGCGAGTATGGTCTTACGCCGCTTTTAGCAAAATTCCAGCAATATCACGGCGGGGGACACCAGAAATGGGCTTCACACATTGTACCCATGTTGGGAATTGAACCGCAGTCTTCGGCGTGACGAGCGAAGGCTTTAACCACCAGGCTACACGACCTCTCCCAGGTAACTTTGAAGATGGGCAGGAAACATTTATGAGTCACCTGCCCGACTGTCTTGTTCGGTTTTAATATTATTTCAAACACTGCATGGAACAGATGATCAGTAAAGAGATGCACTGTGACAACCTATCCTAATTTAAGTTATCCCTTACCAGCAACATGGCACTGACCTATTCTCAAGTGTTCAAATCTATAAGGTAATCACTTTGTTTTCTCTGCCTGGGAGCATGGCCTGGTTTTAATGAGACAGGCCTCAAAGTTAAAAAATTTCCCAAGTAGCCATATGGCTACAAGCATTTTTCCGAGTAGCCAGTGGTAAAATCAAGAAGTTGAGCCAATATTGTAGGTAGCCAAAAGCATATAAAATTATCTTTTATCAAATAACTATTATAATATGTACCAGTTATAGCATTAGTCTTGGAATTGTATATTAGTGGAAACTGTACTTGATTTTTGTAACTTGGGACTCCAACAATGATGCAATTTATGTTACAAGATTATATAGGTATATCTGTGCTTATGCAATGAGCAATGTCAACTGAATAAGATACTAATTACATTAATATTTATGTATTTCTGTTCATTGTCGATTTTAGCAGGACTTATACGCAAGTACAATTATTAGCCGACATGTTTTCCACATTTAGCTGTTATATATTTTTGTGTCTTCAAATGTGAAGCAATAGAATTTAGTTGCCACAAGATATTTTCAAGGTAGTCATTAGATTTTGGACAGTAGACAAATTGAAATTTAGGTTGAATTGGCGACCGTTTTAGTCGTAACTTTGAGGCCTGAGAGATGTTATCTCCAACGGTGTAGGTTATAGCAGCCATTTGCATTCATTCGTCTATGCCCGTTTCATTAATACTCAAGTGTATGAGTTAAATTGAGTGGTATGTCATAAAAGGCAATTACCATAAAATTCAGATTGTCTTCAAGACATGACAAGAAGATTCTCAGAGTCTACTCCGACCTTCCAGATCTCTGAGAGCAGGGATACTATTTTATACAAATGGAATCGAACATGGTTTTCCTGCATAATGGTCAGATGATGTGACCTCTAGGCCACCATACAGCCACTTAGAATAGTTAGAGCCTACACAAGTTATCAGTGCATAGATGAGTCAGTTTGTTTTCCATGTATTTAAAGCCACAAAGCTTTAACAATAGCACCTCTAAGGATATAGTGTTTGGAATCACGCTGTTGAGGTACTTGTAGTAACCAGGGTAACTTGTGAAATGTTCTTGTAAAAATATATAGGAAATTTGTACTGTGTCAAATATACAAATATGTACAACACTGTAATGTTGGTTTGCCTTAAGTCACATCTTATCATTGTTATACAGAATGTCACACTTGTTAGCATGAGCCAAGTTTTTCAAATTGTCAGAGAGGGGGGGTCCTAATGTGCAGACACTAAGCTGGATCTTATCAATAATTATATTTCAAAGTAACATTTGTAAAAATTGTCCTACATTTTAAACTCCAAATAGACAAATATTGGTTGCAATTTTCAACCATACCAGTTGAGCCATAGTTAAAATATGAATATGTTAAATTTCAAACAATTGTTTAGTCCAATGTTATGCCTATTAAACATGGAAAATACTGACATTTGTCATGATGAAGGAAAAAAAGTACCCATGATTAACAACACGATCAGTTTGGCGGAAACAAATAATTTCAACCAGTTTCCATGACAACTGGAAAATAACCAGCAACAGAATATTAGTTTCTGCAGACAAACTTCATTAATTTAACAACTTATACTACCATAAATAACATTTAGACAAAAAAAATCTACTGGTAGAAAATCAGATAGTTATAACACTAACCAAGTGTTTCTAAAACACTATAGAGTGTAGACCATCACTATCACATTTTAGATAAAAACACTCCACAGTGAAACTACTGCACACTGTCCTATGTCAAACAAAGCTGCAAATCTATCACCCCTAATGACTACAATTGACTCTTCCACTGACATAATGAAAGATAGTCCACTGAACACTTGAGGTATGGAAGCTACCAAATTAGTAAGTCTGATAAAAAATTGCCTCCATAACTAAAATACTTAAGAATAAGATAAGTTATATTAATTTCAAATCAAATATTTATATACTTGGCCACAAACCAAAATGACTTAAAAATTTAGATTTTCAGCAAAATCAGTATAAATTAACCAATCATGTATGGGTGTCAAAATTTGCAAATGACTAACTAAATTAATCTTGACCTCTTCATTAAGCAAGTTCCAGAAGCACGACCTGAGAAAGTCTCAATGACAAGACAGTATTCACATGGAGATGACTTGTCACTTCTCCATTGTGTCTGGTCAAATTGTTTGGAGTGACGTTTAGCTACCATAGCATTAATTGTTTTCTAGATTTCGCCATTTGCTGCTGAAGAACGACCCTTTTGTCAAGGGTCGATGAGACGCAATCATAGCACACGTGTGTCTCTGTCACCATGGCAACAATACAACTGCCAGCTGCACATTTATTGCTCATCTCTTCCACACAATTCACTTGGTTTGCCTTAACCCATATCAACTGGGCTGGACCGATCACTGTCACTTTCTTCGTCGGAGAAGTTTTCCGACGGTGTTTCGGTGGCTGTCCGAGAATGCACGTCGGATGAACCGAGACTGGACTGTCGAGATAGAGCGGCGGCAGTCATGGCGGCTACTTCCGCTTCGGTGTCGCCTGCACTGAGGTAGGACTGAGCTGCTGTTGCCTGACGATACCTGGACATAATATTGAACATCTTTCAGCAAAGTAGCAAAATGATGAAGCCAAACCAATATAATCACTTGTTTTAACAGACCATTAACAACAAACTATAGTAAAAAATATATATCTGTATCGGAAAGTAACTGTGTGCAGTAACATTTTATCAAGCACACGAGCCAGGGATTGATATAATGAGCAACATTCCACGCAGTAGGGGTACGATGACAACAAACAACCTAAGCACTGAGTCTGACCACCCAATCTATTTAGTCGCCCCGTAAGACAAGCATACAGTTGTTGTGGACCTATTCAGGGGAGTCTCAATGGGCAGAAGGCCAATACAATGCAAGAAATCCACCGATGTGATGACGCCGTCACACCGAGGTGTTTAGTTTGAGGGTGTACTCACCTGGCCTGTTGTTGGCTGACTGCCATGGGGTCTATTGGGCGGATTGCAGCAGAACTGGAAGGCAGGGCACGAGCATTCTGAGCCATTTCTGGAAAACCAAGATTAACGTTAAACTTTACTGTACACTGGTACACTGTCACAGAGACTGCAAATGTTACAATAAATTGTATACTTAAGATACTTATCCTATCTCACACAATGCATTTCTTCTTCCTTCTTCTTTCGATCCTTATGTGGAAATGTGCTTGAATAAAGTTTTTATCTTCAAAAATACACCCGAACACGTCTCAGCATCACCATGGTCACCACCCAAACAATAGGATCCTGCCCTGCAATCCTGTGCCCCGTGCCATGTGACCCACCCAAGCTATTTCCATTTCTCCTTAATCGCTCCGCTGTTTCCTAGATGAGAACAATTTTTCCTGTGCCCCTGGCAAATGATTAGATCCATCTTTATTTCAAATTCCATGGATGCACTTGTTTGTCAGTCAAAACTACCATTTTGGACCCACATGGGATTTTGTTACTGACTTAGTCTAAGTAGGTCAGCCATTCAGCTGACTACTTAGATTCTGCCCGCAACAGAAATCTACTTACATACGCCTTCAGTGACATTTTTCCGGCTCGCTAAATAAAATTCCGATATTTCGGTAAGTAAGGTGCATTAATCGAATATAGATGGCTTGTACATGTGTAGAAATGAGTTGTCTATCAATCTAGTCAGCAATATCATGGCAGGGGACACCAGAAATGGGGTTCACACATTTTACGCCTGTGGGGAATCAAACCAAGGCCTTCGGTGTGATGAGCGAACACTTAAACCACTTGGCTACTCCATCACCCCGAATTGCTTTTAGAAGCTGGAAAGTTTATTCAAGCACTTTTCCACATGAGGATCGAAGAAAGAAGGAAGAAATGCATAGTGTGAGATGAGATAAGTTTAAAATTGTTCCATTTCCAAACAGTTTCTTATTTTATGTACAAACATGCTCAATCTTAGCACAAGACAGGTAAAAGATCAATGGTCAGAATGAAGGGAGACACAGAAAGGAGACAGGCAGAGAGGAACAAAAGGAGACCACATGACTGTGTGGGCTGGTTCTGTAGATATGTTAAAATAGGCTGGTTTGGTAGATCCATTGCTGTCTGCACTGGATTGAGTGAGTATGGTTTTTACGCTGCTTTAAGCAATATTCCAGCAATATATCGGCAGGGGACACCAGAAATGGGCTTCACACATTGTACCCATGTCGGGATTCGAATCCAGGTCTTCGGTGTGACAAGCGAACGCTTTAACAACTAGGCTACCCGTCCGCCCCTGCCTGCACTGGAATGGTGCTTGAAATTCTGTGCCCTGCCCTATGAGCCCATACTCTTATCACTGATATACCCCGTACAGAAAACAAATGAAATAGGAAAAGAGTATGAGTAACTTCCTGTGGTGTCGGAGTTCGAAGACACAATCAACAGTCATCATGTGTGGTCACCCAATCCATTTAGTCGCCTTTTACAACAAGGAAAGGTTGCCTGGGATGTATATTATAACCCCGAAAACACACACAAACAATTGAAAGAAAGTTAAACATGAGGATAGAGTGAATGAGGAAGAGAAGCATACAGCATGTTAGCATCTGGAGAGAAATGCTGTTGGATTCATGAGGGTGGAGGCCCTTTAAACGGATACCAACAAGAAATTATCAATATAGAAATGTTACACAATTAGATGTCACAATTATAAATATTAATGTATTATTAATGTAATAAACCAATTTTATGTGTGCAAGTTTCCTAAAGGTATTTCGAATAGTTTTCTAGTTCTGCTCTAAAAATAAGTGTGACAGACAGATGTTTTTGATTTATAGACATAATACTGGGTATCCTGCAAACACACAAAATGACAAGGACCCCTTCACTTGTCCTATTACGAATGTGCATTCTACAAAGTTTTAAGGGCAGACATATCAGCAGTTGGCATATCCCAGCTCCATGGAAACACTCCTGTCTGCACTCACCTATAACATAGGGTTCCAGAGCCTTGGGAACCATGCGAGCAGCTTTCACTATGTCTTGAGATGTACACTGGCCTTTCTCCAGGTTAAATGCCATTCCCATTCTTTTTAGAACCTCGATGTCATCGTGAATTTCAAATGTGTTATCAAATTTAAACAGGTATTCATATCTGAAATAAGAAATTAAATGTCAGTATACCTCCTGCTACAGTACATCATAGACCTATACAGACAATTTACACTGCTATCATCATTATCATCATCTATAATATGAGCATTGAGCATCATCATAATCATCATCGACATGAACATCTATCATCATCATCATCATACATAACATGAGAATCTCTTTTTTGTCTGAATGCTGCTTAAAGCCCCCCACAGAAAAATCCTAACTATCCCAAGAAAACCCTATGAGCCTGTTAATTGAATACGGCAAACCAGTAATTGATATTTTCAATGATCTATGCTATTTGGGTACAATGACACTCAGTCAAACAAATCCCTGAGCCACCACTGGATCCAATAAGTCTCTTCTGTCAAGCGTATGTTGCTGGGGATCAATTATTACTGAGAATCCCCACAGGGTTAATTTGAGTATCAAGCTTTCACTCATGATGGAATTTGACATCAGGTCAAAAGAACCATACTAATTCTTTTAAGGACACTCACTTGTCATTTGATATGCTGCAATCAATGACTGTCTTTTTACTTGTATTCACGATGATAAACGGCAGCTGGATTGCAGAATTAGACCCAGGGGGGCCTTGCGTCTTCTCCAACTCCCGATTTCTTTGCACCAAATTTTTAAATGCTATTTGCTGAAATAAGAAACAAACTATATTCATATCTCATGCAATAAATATGAATGCATTCAGATACCTGACTCGTATATCTGGATACCTTTTCTTGTGAAATGTTTGCATCTAAATTGAAATCCTGTTCCTTCATCTGTTGGTTAGATAAAGTGTAACCCTCATCACTATAGAAGATGAAATAACTGCTCCTTAAAATGCAGCATTGCCAATGCAACAGTAAAGTTACTCCAGTAGATGTATTTTATTACTGTTTCAGTCTCAATACTGCAGTTACTGAGCATAGTTAACATGATCCAAAAAAATGCAATATCATTTACTGTTAATGACATAAAGGATACAGAGAAAATAAGTCCTTGATGAAATAATTATCTATTTTAGTTCATGATCAATAATTTTAGTCATCAGTTGACCATCAAATGTTTTTTTGTTGTTTTTTTAAACTAATGGTCAATTTTGCATAGCGTACAAATTCTGGTGTTTCCACTTTCCAACATGTCCAAGGGAGACAACTCCTTGGCTATGCATTACTTAGATACAGGTCAAAGTTTAGTGCAGAGTCTTCACTCACATTCACACAAGAATAGCAATCTAATTGTCAGAATCAAAGCCTTATTTCAGGTTAACACTCTTCTTTGTTTGTTTCAGAAAGGAAATGCCTTAGTTCTTATTAATATTTATCAAAATAACTTAGAGAAATGACTGCTGTACTTCCAATCCATGGACCAATATTGTCCTATCCAGGTGCTGAACATTTTCCCTAAGCAAAGGAGTTAACTGACACTAAAAGTCCAGTTTCCACCCTTGCCAAACTAGGCTTGAATTTCGTGGCTCGATCGTAGCGAAACCAGTGGCTATTTCGAGTTATATCCCTTCTATTGACCAATCTGATTTCACCTCGCATATAACTTGTATTTTTTTCAAACAAAATGTCGGCGCCCAGTCAAGACAATCTGATCGATAATCAAGGTCTTCTTTGTAATAAAGCGGGTCTTACCCCACGAAGTACATCAAATCACTTGAGCATGAAAAGATTTGGAAAACAGCTGTCCAAGCCCATTTGAAGGTTCACATGCTCTGCAAATCCTGCAATCGACCGAAATCTTCACGGCAGTCGCCATGTTGTTTATGAACCGATTATTGATTTTGTTGCACGATTTTGATTAGAATATGCATAGACACTTTAGTCCAGCCAAAATATAACTCCATAATTCTAGCCAACTTCGGAAAGGTTGGAAACTGGACTTAATAGTCAATTAACTCCCTTGCCTTGGGAAGATGGGTGCTGACATATACTTACTTGTAAAATAAGTTCTTGCAACTGTTGTGTTTTATGCTTTATCCGTTCTAACCTTCGTTGTTTTTCCATCTGAAAGACAAATAGCAATCTTCAATGAGGTATAAGTATGCCACTTAACAACATCTTCTAGCTTTTGGATTCACAGACTCAGGGCTCGACAAATTTCTTAAACCCATCTTCTCCTGCAGGCAAGTAGATCATATTTTGTACTTGTCCAGCAATATTTCCACTTGTCCTGTTAAATTTCAAAATGTTTTATGTTCTCAGTTATTATTTACAGCAGACAGTACAACATAATTCAGAGTCTCCGCCATTTACATTCATCTCCGCTATTCAAACTCGCTCAACCTTGCACAGTTCATTTTCGTTTCTTACAGTCATACTGTTTTTGAGAAATTTTCCATTTTTCAGCCTGTTCGTTAGTTAAATCCCATCATACCCAATCAAATACATCTATATGTCAGCCATGTCCCTAACAAAATCAATCATCGGCTGTTCACCATCACTTTGACATTTGAACGTCAGTAACGAGTCGCTTACAACAAAAATAATCTCCCTTTAAAAACTAGTTTAGATACCTGCTGTACAAACTCACTTCCTGTTTATTTCTGTAACAGACAGTTGCCAAAGTATGTCATTTATGATATGAGGGACATGTATTTCATTGTTATTATTTAGATTGTGCGAGAGACATATTACATTAGAAGTTATCTTGCATATTTTAATGAAAAAGATTAGAGATGATTGATTGATTGAAACATACATTCTCGACCTGTTAGGAAGAGCGTTTATTCAATTCTTTCTCGCCCTGCACATGCTGCCACTTGTCAATACGAGAGGATGAGTTGATTTTGCAGCCCTGAGACTGATGTGTGTATTAGCAGAACCTCTAAATTATTCTATTTAAGTCTCATGTGAAAACAGATCACATAAACACAACTACCATCCTCAAACATAACTTCCCAAACATTGTATTATCAGAGGGTGTTCTGCACAAAGTTACATACTTGTTTGTTACATGCAATACATAACCTATCACTAACAAAAACAGATTATTAACTACACAACTAAATGCAGCAAGTACTGTCTTCAACACAATTAGCACTCTGCCCAAGGATGTCTGCTGGTATGGTTTTGTGTTCACTGCACAGCTCAAACTGCTGTGTTTTGTGTGTCCTTTATTACAAATTTAAGTAAGTCTATATCCACTATGTAGCAATAAAGTCGAGGAACACCAGCTTAAAAGCAAATTGTCACATACACAGCGTAAAATACCACACAAAAAGAGAAGTAGGGCCCTTTAATGCAAATTGCTTGCGACAAAAGTGAATGCAACATTCTAAAACTATGACGTCACTTCAGAGTAAGAGAAAATTGTAAATGTTTGCTCAAATGTGTGCACAGTAGCATAGAGTGATTGATGTTTTCTTACAGATGAACATGTAGCAAAACATTGTTCAAATATTTTGAAAAGTTAAATACTCTTTATGATACTTTTTTGCAAAATTGTTGACACAGTGAGTGTCTGTCCCTGACGCCTCTTTAGTAAAGTGTGAACTTAGCTTGGCACTTCTGAAGTGCGCCTTGCACAACAAAGCGCCCACTTACTCCTATCTTTATTTCGACAGTCAGATTCATTAACAAAGATTTTAGAAATACCCATCTCAGATCAGCAGACATCTTAAGATGCATTTCACGTAACGACATGTATCACAATACTAAGGGTGGTATTACCGGTATACTGTGGTGCAAATCTTCAGCAATACATATTGCGATACGTTTGTAAATGTAACAATATATTGGGGCATATTAATAAGTATATTTATGTGTTCCTAATCGATATGGAGATGGAAAATAGTATCTTTCTGATACAACTTGCTTCTGGCGATTTTTTTATCAATTAGCGTGTACACATTGCGACTATCAAGCTATAGCATGTTTGTGGAGCTCTCTATACTGAGAGTATAACGAAGGTGTCACACGCTGGTAAGGAGCTTGATGGTAACTGACATATTACAGGGTATAACTCTGATTAACTCATGAAAATGTAAATTGGCAACATATTGCAATACGTTGTAATACAGGTTAAAGTATGGCAATATATTGCAATACAAAATCCAGGTCAATACACAGTCCTACTCGATACTTGCATGTGCTGTTATCTGTGGTGTGTAAGCCATCTTTTTCATAGACAGGATGGCCAAATACCTGGCACACTGACAATTTACAGTCAGCAGTGTCAAGTATGGTACAGTGGATGAATTTTTTTGTTTTCACATAGAGTTACTTTGTGTGATGCTGTGATCGATACTTGTAAGAAGTAAAAAATCATGATCCACTGAAGCATTGGTGTATCGTGCCACGACTAGTAAGATTAGACACTAACAGCCTGTCACACTCAAGTCACCAGATCCTCCTGATAGATTCAGATGACAATCACGGGATGCAGAGAAATAGGGAAAAACAATTCAAGGTTACAATCTTTTCTTAGTTCCAACATGATGTCAATAACAGGTCACATGTGTTACTTACTGGGATAGCAAATGGACTCATTGATAACAGGCAAAACAATAGGGTGATACCTCTAAATTCTGGCATTCCTGAGCTGAGTTGGTGGGCAAGCCTATCCACCGGATTTCTTTCTTCTCTTTAGAAATAATATTCATTGCCATTAAGACATTGAGAGCGTCGTAGACTCGCCGCCGGATATTCTTCTGATCATATGCCTGTAAACAACAAATACCATCACACATTACACTTGCATGCATCAACATGGGCACCCAAACAATACTCCTTTTGCATTTATCAGGCTGTCATTGAAACTTCAAACCTTATTTCATTAAAAAAATAAAATATTATTCATTGAATCACAGCCAAGTCAGGCTTTTCGTTACACTTAACCAGATTCTAATTGAAAGTATGTTTTTTTGTCCCAAACCTGCCTTGGCCATGTTCCACAAAGCAATTTTAGCGCAACGACGATCGTATGCCAATGTTAGGTATGGTAGTTACGAGTACCTTATCACTAAGATGGTTCTGTGGAACGGGGCCTTGGACATTTAACTTGGTCAGACAAGTGCACGAGTGTGTGATTAGAGTGGGTGCATAATAAAAACTTGCCCCTACATTAACTTGGTCAGACAGGTGCGCGAGTGTGTGATTAGAGTGGGTGCATAATACAAACTTGCCCCTACATTAACTTGGTCAGACAGGTGCACGAGTGTATGATTAATGTGGGTGCATAATACAAACTTGCCCCTACATTAACTTGGTCAGACAGGTGCACGAGTGTGTGATTAGAGTGGGTGCATAATACAAACTTGCCCCTACATTAACTTGGTCAGAAGGGGGGAGTGACATGTTGCGTGGGTCTGTGAACTCCGCCACCAGCTCGTCGGCCACCTCATTGTAGGATGTCACTCCTTTCTTCTGCACCTTCTCACAGACTTTCATGGAGAAATGCCGCAAACCTTTGCCGCCCTTTTCTCCTTTCTTCCCCCGTTTACTGCAACAATAAACACAACCATGCAGCAAACAATGCAACATATGTGTTCAGCCCCACTACCAACTTCGCATGTATCAAATTTGGTAACATTTTGAACACATATGGCTGAGTAGTGGCCATAAATAACTTTTCCAACATGGCTGGAGTAGTGGCCATATTGAAAATCGTGTCTAAACACCATTGGGATGTTGTCATTGGAGGGAATAAGTACCGTATTCCACGTAATGAGCACCCACGGCGATATTTGCTAATATGCCTTACTCTTGCATGCAACTGTTATATGAAGAAGTAATTGTGTTGGTCAAAGATACTGATACTGTTTTTTAGTGAGTGAGTGAGTGAGAATGGTTTTACGCCGCTTTTAGCAATATTCCAGCAATATCACGGTGGGGAACACCAGAAATGGGCTTCACACATTGCACCCATGTCGGAATCAAACCCAGGTCTTCGGCGTGACCACTTTAACCACTAGGCTATCCGACCACCGCTACTGTTTTTTAACAAAAGCAATTAAAGAACTATTTTGTTGTTTCACAATTATTGACTACTATCAATAACTATGCTATATTCAAAAGGCAATGTTGTGAGACAGAACTTACTTGTCCCCATAATCAGCTTCTATAGTTATCTCCCCTGCTCCTCGCTTCTTGGCTGACCAGGGTGAGGAAGGATCAACCTGCATCATATGTCGAGGACTGGACGCAATCATATGTGGAGACCCCTGGTGGTGAAGATACACATACATAAATCTATTTCATATCCTGCATGTGTCTATCAAATATCCTACTATAGTCGATTACACATATGAACTGTGTCTATTACATATCCTAAATGTGGCTTTTGGGTTCTAGAATATGGCATATTGCTGATGTTGCAGAAATCTAATTCTAGCTGATTACACAAGAAAACACTTCTTACAGTAAGATATAATTGGAGCTATATTCACTACATCTTCCCGAGGCATTCCTTGGCTCGATCATAGCGCCACCAGTGGCTATTACGAGTTATGTCCCTTATATCCCTTCCTATTGACCAATCAGATTCCATGTCTCATATCACATGCATTTGCTTCAAACAAAATGGCGGCACCCAGTCAATACGAGCTGCTCGATAATCAACATCTATATTGTAATAAAATGGGTCTAACTTTTGCAAAGTGCATCAAATCATGTGAGCACCTTGATAAAAAACATGAAAGAATTTGCAAAATATCTGTCGATGCCCAGTTGGCGGTACACATGCTATGCAAATCCTGTAGTCAACCGAAATCTGCACATTGAAATCCATGTTGTGTACGAACCGGATGTCTAGTTTGTTATGCTATGCATAGTCTCGTTAGTCCAGCCGAAATGTAACTCCATAATTGCAGCCTAGTTCGGCAAGGGTGGAAACTGGATTTTTATGCAAGCTCCGTCCCAGCCCGTGACACCTTCGTTACACTCTCGGTAACATCGCTGCCACCAGTGTGGGCGCAGCCATTACAAGAATCTTGAAATTTGCCCTCTAACCCCAAATGTAGCAACATTCATACTTTTGTTTTTGTCTTTGGGAATGCCATCATAGTTCATTTTGAAAAGGTTTACGACTGACCATGTTTTCCAGATGAATTTACTTTGTTTGTATAATCAGATTGGTTCGAGATTGCAGACGAACGGAAAAATCAACCAACTTCTTCCCTACATTCTTACTATATCAATTACATGATAGTTTTAATGAAATAGAAATTCAAACTGACAAACAAAGAAAGTAATTTAGCTGGGGTAAGTGTATTCAGCGACAAGACAGTCGTAACTTGTTTGTAAACATAACGGTCATTCGGTGTGAGTTCAACTCCAAGCATGGTTGTGGTCATCTATCAGTATCACTGTTGGGAGTTTTGACTGGTGGCAGCAATAGTACAGAGAGCTCCGCGAACGGGATATTGCTGTGAGGAGCTTGTGGAAGATGAATTCACTACTGATCGTGAACCTGATGTTGGCTTGTCATGACCAATGACCTTCAACAACTCAAACATAACTGAAGTAATTATTTATATGAATACTAGTATTACTAGCAGTGCATTGTAAAACTAAATGTCATTTGGAGAAATGATAAAATCCATTTTTAGATAAATGATAGAAGAATAAATATATAAGCTTGAAAAGCAAAAACCAGGCTATGATACTTTGTCAATGAATTATTGAATAACCTAAATCAGGTTTACATTTTAAGACTAGCAGCCACCTGATTTCTTTTTCAGCTAAATATTAACACTAGTTCCATCAAGTTTTTATTAAAGATGATGCGACATAATAATAAAAAAGTCGCTTTACAGCAGCTTGAGTTGCGACTATCGTAAGGTGGTTAATGGTAAAGCATGGGAGTTATGACAGCAGTCATGCTAAGACCAATTCATGGAACCAAGCCCTGATAGAACAAGTTTATGAACCATGGGGCAATATTGGATGAATGAGCATGGTTTTACACTGCTTTCAGCAATATTCTAGCATTATCACGGCGGGGGACACCAGAAATGGACTTCACACTTTGTACCCATGTCGGGAATTGAACCCAGGTCTTCAGCGTGACGATTGAATGCTATAACCACTAGGCTATCCGACCGCCCCTTGGGGTAATATTGACACTTGGCACATCTCGAACTAAGGCTAAGTAAGTGCTTTGTGTTAACAAACTTCTACTACATAGGCAAGTTGCACTTTTGTGATACCAAACAACCAATTCACTCCAGTACAAAACTATTGTGAACAGCAGCAACAGGGTGTAGTCTTACTTGTGCATTGATGGCTTTAGGAAGCAACTGTGGCTCTACTTTGTAAGGTGACATCTTAGCTGGAGAGGCGATGGGCACCGCAACAAGTATCGCTGAAACACAAAGAATGTTTGATAACAAATCATTATAATATTGATCAATACCAAACATAAGCCAAAACTGATCTTCAATATCAACATATCAGAATTCACTAATGATGAGCAAAATTATTTTTATAACTGCTACTCAGGTAGGACTAGGTTTCATATCCTTGTACATCTTTATGTCAAACTTTGTTGTATCTAGGGTTGTCTTCTAATTTCTTTTATAAACTTCAAATTAACTTACAGTGTTAGAAATTGACACTAGTCCTATAGTCCTGGCTAAACTGCCCAATAGTTAATGTATCCTAAGGACTGGTAGCAATTAGCCCATTTATGTATTTTGCTATATGTTATCACAGTAAGAACAGACATCAAACAGCAAATATAATAAACCACAAGAGAAACATCACTTCATGAAAGTTTCCCATTAAAATATCAATGCAATTTTGGGAGGTCTCTCGTTTTAGATAGCATGTATCCAAATTAAATCTTGACGTCCAAAATGTGACACAAATATAGATTTATTATGGGTCACCAAACCACAGCTTAACAAACGACAACGGTACCATGGTAAAAAGTCCTGAATAATCCATGGATATCCATGAGAGAGAGAGAGAAACAGGAAAAGAAATGTCTGTATATTCAAAAGCCTGATGATTTTATTTGTGTACAGTTAATGTCACTTTTAATATAATATATGATGTCTGCATACTAACATTTTTCAGAATCAATATTTCTTGAGCTTATTTGCATATATCATCAAATATCCAGACAGAAAATATCTCTTATAATGAATAACGTCTGAAATACTTACGGGTTTTATGGTCTTTAAATCCTCGCAGTTCACCATGAGAATCAATGATACCAGTCTGAAAACAAAGAGAAATTCATACAGAATACATTAACACTGGCAGACTTCACTTGGAAAAAGTTGGGTTTGACAGATTCATCAAACTGACCAATGTACGGCAATTGAACAACATTGAAATGTCTGGTAAGGGGAAGAACAGAATATTATTCATTTCATTTTTGTGATAGCATGGCAACACAGGGGCAAACAATAGTCAGTGAAAGCCAATGTAAACAGTTTTAAAGCAAATCCACGCCATAAGGGAAATATTCTTATCGAAGTTAAATACATGTATGCGATTCTTTTCCTGATTTTAAGAATATAATTTGAATATTTCATAAACCTTTTACACACTTGCTCTCCCTTCAGTAACGATGAATGTCAGAAACAAGCCATGCTGAATGTCAGTAACTGAACACAAACTTCACATTGTCAACTGAATATCATTATTGTGTATGGACAGATTATTGGATACAGATGCAGAGCCTTGCTGATCCAATTATAATGACAGTATTGTATGGTTCTGGACATTGAGGGATGGATGGTGGACCAGACAAACCTGTCTTTGATAATGGGAGCAATATCCCGGGGTATGGTGATACACAAACAAAACAGTCACCAACACTGAACACCCGATCTATTTAGTGACCTCTTATGAAGGGGCCCAGGTTTCTGGGATCCAATTCGAACCCAGAATCATGGGACACACTGAACATATCATGTTCAGCAAATCCTCATGAGATAATACTCTTACAAGCCGTTCAACTCATGAGATATAACTCTTACAAGCCATTAGACCTATTGGCATGTTGCATACCACCCAAAGAGGAGTGAGTTTGGTTCAATGCCACATCTAACAGTATTCCAGTTATATCTTAGTGTACCATCCAAAAAGTCATTGCTATTAAGAATGATGACTAATACCTTGTTTAAATTTCCACCGAAAGGAATATAGCACTTCAAGCTGATCCAGAGACTAGGACTCAAACAACATCAACAACATGATGTTTGCAACAGCTACAATGGTTTCTATGAGCAGGATCAGACATACTTGTAAGAGAATATCTTTCCTAAAACAATTTGAAGCACCTTGTACAGCAGCCACCTGGAGCTGAAGTCTGTGTGAGCTGGTGCATTAATAACAGCACAGTTGAATCTGTCAAGTAGGCTTACAACTAAAGACAACAAGATCTATTAAGAAAACTTGGATTACAGTATTATCGATTCAACAACTGAGGGCTTGATGTCAGAGCGTTTGTAGTGAGCACTTCAGCTGAAGATCAGATGGAGCCAAGGCAGATCAAAACAGATTCTTATTCAAATGTAGTCTCATATAATAAATAAAATATGACATATGATGTGGATGGAAGGGTAGACATGTAAATAGCAAAATGATTTACGATCCAATCATGAACATGATAGGACATGTGGACAAAGGGAAATTCAACATTGACATACTATATAAAGAAAATATTGAGTGACCAAAAAAACATTACGATTTTACATAATTCAAACAAACTTCAAGCCTTGACAAGCATATAGTCTTTCCCTCAGTTAAGATTTTGAAAAAAACAACAAATACTTCATTTATACACTTGTTATCAGCATGATCAGTGATCTATTTCAAAATACATCATTACCAAAATCCCACCTCATAACATTCCATGAACCAGGTGATCATTCCAGCAGAATTTGATTATTAGTTTAATCACACAATTGTTAACACATGCCTATTCTGAACTAAAAACCTCACAATGCTAATAAACTCTTTTCAAAACCATGAACTGTCAAAAGACTTGATAAATTCAAAATATCAAACTAAAAAAACACAAAAATCAGAGCACACAAACCTTCAAAATCAATAAAATTCACCAAAACCCAACAGCCTATCTGCACATGTGCTGAATGTACACCAAGCAACTTGATGTCCAATGCCTATGACACCTACTCCTTCCACAATCCAAGACGTGAGCCCAGTACACACAACAAGCAAGCCACCCTGAGTTAACCCGACAGTCTCGCCTTCATCTTGGGGCATTCTTATTATAATCAGCGACAGGTGTTTCTCGCTTGGCCCAGTCACTCACCGCCTCTGTGACCCCAGTTTATGTGTGATGGAATGAACAAAGAGACACCAGCCAGCTTTCAAAAGAAACACAGCTACAGCATTGGTTACTAGCTGTCGGTTGGAAATTCCCCTACCATGCCTGTTGAAATCTCGGCAACAACGAGACCACCGATCAACCCAATTCTTATTGATTCGGCACATCTTGGGCTATAATACATGCCCAGGTGTTAGAACTAAACTCAAAAGCTTTACTAACCTGTTGGGTAAAGATACCTAATTCTCTTGTAATGTTAAAACAATGAAGATATTTGGAAATTTGTACTAGCCCGCAAAAATTTGCACTAGCCCTGGGCTAGTGGGCTAGTGTTAATTTCCAACCTTGTGACACCCACTAAAATTCTGGGATAGGTAGTCAGGTAGTGGCTTAGCTATTTTATCATTTCTGGTTGTAAATTGTTCCTATTTAATAGCCTGACATCATATTCCTAGAAAAGAAAGAAGTCTGTATTGATCACATTTCATAAGTCATGTAAGAGACATTTTATACTTTTGACATTAAGCTCTTGGTAAATCATAAGGTTTCAAAAACAAATAGACTTCATGCATTAAAAGCTAGTCAACAGAAGGAATTAGGAAAACATATTGTCACAAAGTATTGAATATTTTCTCATTCTGAAACACACTGTAAACAAACATCCTTCATAAAACCTTATGTTACAAGTCCATAGTTTGAGCTATAGGCTTTACAGCCTCAAATGCCTTCACAGAATCTTGTGAAAATATTTTTTTTTAAAAAGCAGGGCTTCATTTAAACTCGATTTAACTTGCACCAGGTGCATGTTGACATGAAAACCAAGTCGTACCAAACAAAATGAGGTTGCATAAATTTATCAAAGTTGAAAGATAGGCTGGTAAGCTTCCTAGTGACACATGAATAAATTGATGCATTGCTGTAAAATGTAAAAGGAACATGTACAATACTTAAAGGACCAACAGTTTAAATTATGTTGCTCCCAAAGAAACTTTCAAAGCATTACACATAACACAGGAATAGTGTTGTAGCATAGTAAGTAAACTTTAGAGGTAATGAGTGAACACAACTTTTCGGAGTATATGCTTACTCCTTCATCAGGTGAAATGATGAAGGATCATGTCAATCATTTCACCTGATGAAGGAGTAAGCATATACTCTGAAATGGTGTGTTCCTCATAATAAGGAAATTGACATCCATATATTCTCTTTCTTAATTTTGTGTAGACATAAATTATATGAAATCTTTTGCCATGCACAAATATTAGGTTGCATCCCTTGACATCAAAACATGGACAATTTTCACATTGTCATTGAGAACAAAATGAATAGAGGCAAATAAACACTGGTAAGAAACTAACTGTCATTCAAGGCCCGGCAAGAATTGAAATCCTATCCTTGCCCGGTATTATGGGAAGTAGTCACCAAACTCTTCAGACACTACAAGCATTAACAGCGTTAGAAACTAACGTTTTTAGTCCATGTGTCCTTATAGTGATAACATAGAGTAAAACCTGTCAAAAGGACAAACTTCTACTGGTCCTTATGATACCTAAACCATTGGGCAGTTTGGCAAGGACTTAGAGGACTAGTGCCAATTTCTAACACTGTCATACCACACTAACAAATTGACAAGGATCATTGATAATCATGTAGAAATGTCATTCACTTGTACCAAAAACAACATATGGTTTCCAACAACAAAATCATTCAGGTTGAAACCAGCCATGTGTGTTTCCATGCGACCAAAATGCCTTTGAAAGTTCAAAATTTTCCTCTGAGAAAGCAATTTTGTTTCTTTTCTAAACAGACAAAACATCAACTAAGTGCATCAACAAACTAACAACCGCCAGAACCACCTTCTTATCTGAAGCAGGACATTACTGCTTGAACCAAACATGTAGTCCATATCCCATGACACCGACAAATTTCAAATAGAACCTGCATGTCCAGAGCAAATAAGCTTCAGTCTGAAACTATAACTCGAAACAGCCTTACTGATGGATTCAACAACCAGCCAAATTTAAACTCACCTGAAGAAATCCCAAAATTTCAAAATTCACATCCAACCTACCCTAAGGAGCAACCCAAATGACAGAATGCAGTGAGATATTCAACTGTCTTCCAAGTCCCCACCAGTTGAGTGAGTGGCAAGCTATGTAATTAGGTGCAAGTGCCATTAGCAGTATTTGTGTTGATAAGCCCTGTCCAGATGAGCTCAGCAGTCACAGCAGCTTCCCTGTCCATTGTCTCCCTCCAACATCCGCCATGCTTCACTGGCTGGTGATGAGCCTCACCAAACAATACAACTCTCCAGTCAAGCTCGCTTAGGACACACCAATTGCACTGAAGGTGGTTGGGTGGGATTGGTGTGGGGGATTAGTGCTAACCAGGCATAGTAAATTGGTCTGTTTTTATAGGATGCGATTAGGGAGTATCGTGAACCGTTGTTTCAAGAACACAGTTTCAAATCTTGAACAGTTTTCCCCATTATGATAACTTCAATTTCAATGGTCATGCTAATGTTCTAAGATATGAAGGAATAATTTAAGTTAACAATGAGATCATCCAAAGCCTTTCAGAAAGTACTGACAACCTGTGAAGTAAGTTTTCTTGTTTCTCGATCAGTGGTTGGTTACTGTTTTGTAGGACTGCTGACGATTTGACTTTGTCCTCGTATCATTCAGTTGATTACTTTGTCAATTTTGTGTGCCTTTTAACTCAATCTACGACTTTAGCCACTGGTCCAAATACTGAGTACAGTAAGATTCTGTTCAGTCCAGTAATAATATTCCATATATAACACATAAATTGACTGAGATAATGCTTAGACTAGAGCCATATGCATGCTAGTTGTCTTAATTCTTTATAGCACAGACTTTTTTTCTGATAAAGGGTAAAATACATGAAACCTATATAT